CATGAGAGTCTTACCTTTTCAGCCTACGCTTGTTGCTTGCAGCATGGATTCTTTAGATCTAAAGAATCTATGTGTTGACTTAAAAAAAAAAATAGAACAAAAAAATCAAAGAAGCAACCGCCTCTGCCGGTCCACTTCGCAAAAAAATGCACCTCTTCGGAGGCACCGACAATTCAAAACAATAAAAGGATGAAATTTAGAGAAAAAAAAAACTTACGCTCATTTCATTCGACTTCGTTGCTTCACAGAGGCGTCTAGGGTTCACCGTTCATCTTCCCTCTTCGTCGTTGTTGTTTGGCTTCAGTTCGCAGGAGGGGAAGGATCGCATGAGCCGATCCTTCGACTCCTTATTGTCGTTCGACTTCACTTCACCCGCATCCGACGCCACCGAGCCCGACGACACAACCTCCGCCCGTCTCCACCTCCCACGCCTGACCCACCTCCGACGCTGCCGATCCTGTCACCATTCAACTTCGCCCCTCCGACTCCTTGTCGCTGCCCAATCCCATCACTCCGCAGGAGGTATAGGGATTGCACAGTTGTTCTTTGGATTTGTTGTCATTCGGCTCCGTTGCTTCACAAAGAGCAGAGATTTTACTCGTCACTTCTTAGGCTCCTTCATTGTTGTTTGTGTTCGCTACCTCGCAGAAGGTGCAAAAATTGCACCGTCACTTCTTCATTATATTATATATTATATATAATATAATATGATAATATAATATTATATATTATATAATCATATTAAAAAAATAATATAATATTATATATATTATTAAAAATTTTGAAAAATGAAATTTTAAGCAAATATCGAAGAACTCGGTCGTCGTACCTTAGGTCCGACCAGGATGGTTTGAAATTGAAGACCTGCGCAATTAATTTTTAATCCGGGCAGATGGTTTGAATCTTAGAGACCCCGAGCAGTGCCGTATCTTATAGATCCGGCAAGAATGGTGTTCCAAATGAATACCATCACAAACAATTTAGATCGCTAGTGGGATGGTTTTAAATTCCCAAAGGCCTATGCCGTTGTCGCTTAGGCCGGTACGAAGAAATTCGGCAAAGGCGTCCGATATCTCCCTCGTAGGGGAGGATGACGCCGTGAGGCTGCCGAAATTTTCTTGAAATTCTGGACTTTAGCGAATTTTGGAAATATTAAAAACACGATCTGTTAAGAAAATTTTGAAAATTGGCGAGCATTTAATTCTCATATTAAACTAATTAATGAAAATTATAATGTTGAGTGATTCATTAATTAACTTGATAATTAAATTGTATCAAACATACTACGGTGGAGATTGATAAGATTGACACTATACATTGGAGTTAATTATCTCAGGCAACATCAATTCGTAAAGGTGTTGACCATACCTTACAGAGCCACAAAATTTCTTAAAGAATCTAAAGCATATGGTTCATTGATAAGAGCAAGTTGTGCAATATGCGCATTGAAACAACGTCAATTATCTTCATAAAAAATATTGATTGAACATACATGAAGGGAAATTACTTCCAATTTAGGCAACTTCCCTTCCTCAAGTACTCTGAACTCTTCCCTCTCAGAGTTTTTAGTAAAAAATTTAACCTAACGTCAACCCCAATTAAAACCTCGGCCACTTCTAAAGAAGTCATAAGTTGAGCTCTCTGAGAAAATGTTTAGGTGATCAATGTAACCCTAGTCTATAGGGACTTGGTTGTAAGACACCACAACTTG